TATATATATAAGCCCTACTATACCAAATGTTTGCAAGGATAAGGAGCAAATGGAACTTACATACACTGCTGAATAGAATGTAAAATGATACATACACTTTTGAAGAGTGTGGCAACTTCTAAAAGACTTAAAATAATCTACCTCATGTCCAAAAAGAAAATGAAAGCATTTGTTCCTAAAATTAATTATACCAATATTCATAGGAAATCTAAAACAGTCCCCAAATGGAAACAACCCAAATGTTCATGAACAAGTGAATGGAAAAAGTACAACATACACACACAGTGGGATACTACTTAGCAATAAAATAAGATAAACTGACATACACAAAATGGATGAAAATCAAAACAGCTATAAAAGATACTGTATGATTTCATGTTTATAAAATTCTAAAAAATTCAGACTAATCTGTGGTGACAGAAAGTAGATCAGTAAAGGGAGGAAAAAAAGTAAATCATGGGCTGGGGTTGTGGCTCAGCAGTAGAGTACTTGCCTAGCATGTGCAACGACCTGGGTTCCATCCTCAGCACCACAAAAATAAATAAATAAAATATATTAAAATTAAATTAAAAGATAAATATTAAAAAAAAAAGTAAATCAGTGGCTGGGAATAAAAGAAAAGGAGGAATGGGAGGAGAGCATCATAAAGGTGGAATCCAATTGCTCCAAGGCCACCATGCTATAAGGAAATCCAAACCAATCTACACATTGAGACCACAAGGAGATATCCTGGAACTACATGAAAAAATGCTCTGCTGCTCCCTAGCTGCCCAGTCCCCTGCTACATACATATGTAGCTCTCGCAACTGTATGTATGCTACCACATGAGAGCGCTGAACAAGAACTGCCTAGCAAATTCCTGACCCACAAAAACCCTGAGTGGTTCAAACAAATCATTACTACCATTAAGCCACTAAGTTTGAGTGATTTGTCACACAGCAATCCAGAAGATTAGGTAACTCTCAGTAGCTCTAAAGTTATTCCTCATGTCCTGCCATCTTTTATTACTTCTCAACTCCTGGAACTTCAACTGTGCTCTCTTGAGCAATTAGTAAAAAAAAAAGCAACCTCTTCTATGAAGTTCCCATCATCTTGCTCTAACCAAAATCTGCCTTTCCCTGAGGATGCCACTTTCCTTGAAGCAATCTCAAAAGGCAGATATTTTCTCTTCCATACTCTTCATAGCCCTACACCAGAGTTGGGGAAGAATATTCCTTGTTCCTTACTTCCATTTTCAGATTATTCTCCTTCCTATCTCTCTAAAACATTCCCAGTCCACTGGGCGCAATTGCACATCTGTAATCCCAGTTAATTGGGAGTCGGAGGCAGAGTAATCACAAATTCAAATTCAAGTCCACTCTCAGCAGCTCAGTGAGACCCTGACTCAAAAAGGGCTAGGGATGAGTAACTCAGTGGTAAAGCACCTCAGGGTTCAACTCCCATACCCTGCCCTCAAAAAAATTCTGTCATCAGTCTGCAGTTGCAGTCATCCACAACCTCCTGGGTCACTCTTCCTCATTCTTTAAAGTTTACATGTCAGCATCCTAACACTAGTCCTGTCAGAATTTTTGGTGACTTAAACACAGATGTAAATTATCCTTCCAATACCCTAATCCTCTGAGTCTTTAAACTCCTCTGCCAACAAGGTTGGACATCCTCAAAGTCAGCTACTCACTTTTATGGTCTTTGTTTATCATGAATAATAACTACAACCTATCCATAAATTCAATTTCAAGAATCCCACACTCTAATAACCACCTTCTAAGATCTGCAATTTATTACTTCTAGTAGCCTGATGACAATCATTTAGCTTCACTGAGACTGGCAATCCTCACAATTTTTAACTGTCTCTCAGCATTTTAATGTCCTCACTTCCTTTTCTAGCCAGCCTAAATTCTATGGTCCATCATTAAGATAACCCAAGAGGGAGAGGGGCGCCTGGGGTTGTGGCTCAGTGGCAGAACACTTGCCTCGCACATGTGAGGCACTGGGTTCAATCCTCAGCACCACATTAAACAAACAAACAAACAGATATTCTTTTTCAAAAAGGATAACCCATATGTACCTCTCTCTCATTTTTTTGTACTGCTGGGTGTTGAACTCAGTGCCTCACTCACACTAAGTAAGTGCTGGACCACTGACTGAGTGAGCCCTCCCCTCACTTCTTCATATCTACCTGGCAAAATTATAATACTCCTAATTTCAACTCTTGGTTTATTCTATGCCTCCACTCACTCACCTGAACTTAACTGGAGAAAAATACAATCATGTCTGACCTCCTACGACTCACAACCCCAAATCTCAAGTAAGCCTTCATGATGCTTATCCATTTACACTAAATTTTCCTCCTCCAACACTGATCCCCTCTCCTAGGGAACTACTTCCTGTCTTTTCATATTTCAAACCTTCAACACCTCCTCCCCCCTCCTTCCACCCAGCTGATGACCTTGCCTCTTTCTCTAAGAGAATGGCAAAAATCAAAAGAAAACTTTAACAATCTCCTGCTACCATGTCTGCCCCTTCAGAGATCTGTAACCCAAATAACTTTCACTATGCTTCTAAGGAAGGTTAAATTCATCCCTCTCACCTACTTTACCTATTGCTCCAGAATTCTCTTCTCTTTACGAATAATTAATTTTTCCAACTTTGCTGAATCTTTCCAATCATAGCCCATAAAGAAACTGAAGCATGTGGCTTGCATCTTAAAAACAAATACCAAAATTTTAAATCTTCTTTACCTCATACCCTCCCTCATCTATTGCCCACTTGCTCTAACTTCTACTTATAATAAAATTCCTTTAAGTATTTGTCTTTTCCCACGCTCAACTTCAATCAGATTTCACCGTGTCATGATCTAGACTGAGCTATGGGATCTTCCCTCTTCCCCATCTCAGTGCATCTCAGTAAATGGCAACTTTGCTTTTCAACTGCTCAAGATAAGTTCAGTGTCACCCTCGACTTTTTTCTCTAAAACATTCTTATCGAATCCACCTGCAAATCCTGGTCTCTCTGATGACAAAGTATATCTAGAACCTAAAACCTTTAGTCTAAATCCACTGCTAACACGCGGATCTAGGTCTGGATCATTTCAATAAACTCCTACCAGGTTTCCCTGCTCCCCTTTGACCCTGCCTACCCTCCACCCAGGTCAGGAAAGAGTAGACAAATCACGATGCAGTATGGCCTCGCCTCAAAGCCATCAAGGGCCCCGTCTGCGCACGGAAGGGGCCTGTGGATGGGGCTCACAAGTAGAGGAGTGGGGAAAGATGTAAAGCAGGACCTTAGCACCCGCGAACAAACCGGTCAGGTCCTGCCCGGAGGCCAACGCTACCAGCACGCACTGGGCGCATGTACCGAGGCTCCGCGGACCGTGACCTCACCTGGCCTGTGCCGCGCCGGAACAGCACCGAGTCTTCCTGCTCGGGGACGCCGCTGCTACCTCCACCTGGACCCATCGCCATGGCGAGCTTTCTGGAGGACGGACGGCGTGGGGTGCAGACCCAAGATGACGACTTCCGCCGCGGGGGCTTCTGGGACCGGAAGAGCACAGTGACCCGGAGGGCGGCTTGGGCGACACTTCAAGCTGCCTTTGGATTGTTACTTCCCTCGCAGCCTGGTCGCGTGGGCGCTTCTTTCCTCTCTCTCCCAACTCTTTGATTTCGCTTTGTTGTATTTTTGTAAAGTGATTCCATCAGGGTTCCATTCTTTCTTTCTTTTTTGGTACCAGAGATTGAACCGAGGGACACTTAACCACTGAGCCACATCCCAGCCCTTATTTTTTAATTAGGGACCCTAAAGTTGTTTAGGGCCTCACTTAGCTGGTGGAGTTGACGGCTCCCGCCAGGGTTTTGTGTTTTGCCTTGTTTTAAACAATAAATTCTCAGCAAATGTTAATGGAAGGTAATTAAGAAAATGAGGGTCAGCACCCCGGAGTGGTGGCGCACTCCTGTAATCAGGCCCAGCGAGTCAAGAGGCTGAGGCAGGAGGATCTCAAGTTCAAGCTAGCCTCAGCAGTTTAAGGAGGACTTAAGCAACTCGGTGAAACTCTGTCTCAAAATAAAAAGGACTGGGGATGTGGCTCCGTGGTGCATGGGTTAAATCCTTGTTTTAAAAATATAAACATTTTATTTTGTTTTTTAGTTGTAGATGGACACAATACCTTCGTTTTATTTATTTTTGTATGGTGTCGGGGATTGAACCCAGTGCCTCACGCATGCTAGGCAAGTGCTCCACCACTGAGCCACAACCTCGGCCCGACAAGTTTTGTTTTGTTTTGTTTTTAAAGCGGGCTTGGGCTCGGTGGTAGAGCGCTTGCCTAGCATGTCTGAGGCACTGGGATCCATTCTTAGCACTGCATATAAATAAATAAATAAAGGTCCATCGACAACTAAAAATATATTCTTTTAAAAAAGTGGGCTGGAATGTAGCTCAGTGTTAAAAGCGCTTGCCTTTCTTGCGCAAAGCGATCCTGGGCTCCAAAATTGAAAAGTTAAAAAAAAAAAAAAAAGTAGAATCAACTGGGGAGGCTGAGGCAGGAGATTGGCAGGTTCAAGGCCAGCCTCAGCAATTTACCAAAAACCTGTCTCAAAAGTAAAAAAGCTGGGCGCCAGCCTGTAATCCCAGTGACTGGGAAAGCTGAGGCAGGAGGATCATAAGTTCCAGTCAGCCTTCGACTCAGCAACTTAGGGATACCTGTCTCCTATAATAAAAAAATCAAAAGGACTGGGGTTGTAGTTCAGTGATAGAGAGCCCATGAGTTCAATCCCCAGTTTCCCCCTATAAAATACTGTATAGATTGTCTTGAGCTAGCTTTGCTATCAACATAAACTGGATACATTTTATCTTCCCACAATGTCAGAATAAATTTACAAGTTAACATTACTTTCATCCACTTCAATTCACAGAAACATAGTTCACTTGGTGTTGTGACTGAGGCTATAACAGGTTCTTTTATTCCATTCCAATCTTAATTACTAACAACTAAATCATTGAAGTCACACATCACACTTTACACGATATATAGGTTACAGAATGGCTAAGAAAGGCTTAGAGAAGCCAGCTGTCGTGGTACACATCTATAATCTCAGCTACTTGGGAGGCTGAGGCAGGAGAATCACAGATTTAAAGCCAGCCTTAGCTATTCAGCAGGACTGTCTAAAAAAAAGGCTGGGGATGTAGTACATCCTCTAGGTTCAATCAAAAAAAAAAAAAGTGGGGAATGGGTTCTGGTATAGTGGCTCAGCAGTAGAGCACTTGCCTGGCACGTGCAAGGCGATGGGTTTGATTCTCAGCACCACATAAAAGTAAACAAAGGTATTGTGTCCAACTACAATTCAGAAAAATAAAATTTTAAAAAGGTTTAGGGGATCACAGAGTTTCAAGAGGCAGTACCAAGAACAAAGGCAAAGACCAGATACAAATGGAAGCGATAAGAAAAGTTTCTAATCAGGAACCAGCCAAAATACTTACAGGTGTGTGAGAGCTGATTGGGGCATGGAACTGGAACTAAGTGTGGGTATTGACTCTAGGCAGTTCCAAAGTGGGCCATGGCAAGCAGAGGGATCTTGCTGTGCTGGAGCCCTGGGAACAGAATCAGGAGTTCAATGCCTGTTAAACCTCATGAGTTTGTGTGTGCCACTGTGTCCAGTCTTAGGGTGTGTCTCCTTTTATGTGTTATGAGGGAGTTACATCTTGTGAGCTCAATAAGCTCCTATATCTGGTGTTTCTGATATGATTTGATATGTCCAAGAGTCCATGTGTTCCTTATTTAATATGGTAAGTAAGCAGGAATAAATTATTAATTGTGCCTTATAGTTGGGCTGAGCAGATGGTGGTTGTTTATTTGTATAAAAAAAGTATAGAGTCATTCCACCATGGGCACTTGTACTCAAAATGGAGGAACTCATGGCAAACTGCTGTTTTGTAAAATGGACCACCTTGGGACTAGATACAGCCTGAAATTGTTGTTCTATATATCATGGAGTAACTCAGACCAGGCAGGACACAGCCTTATCCTCTACATATTGTCTAAGGATCTTTGCCCTCCTACACACCACCATCCTGACTGTCAAGACATATTTTATCTTTACATGGATCAAACAGATTTTTATTTTTATTTTTTAATCAAACAGGTTTTAAATTCTTTATAGGAACTTACCATTCACTTTTCTAGTATCTTGTTTGTTTTGTTTCTGGACATTGAACCTGGGGCCTGGAACCTGCTAAGTCTGTGTTGTACCACTAAGCTACAACTGCAGCAGGAATCAAACTCACAGCATTGTGCTCTACTACTGAGTTACAACCAAGCCAAAGTATTTATTAATGTTCTGAGTTTATCAAATTCCTTTCATGCACATAATGTGTGTGTGTATTCTCATGCACTACTAGAGATTTACCCCAAGGGCACTTTATCACTGAGCTAACCCCCAGCCCTACTCTCTAAATTGCATAACTGGCCTCGTATTCTCAAACTTGTGATCCTCTTGCCTGAGCCTCTATAGTCTGTGGAACTGCAGGTATGCACTGCCAGATCTGGCTATACATTTTTTTAAATCCAGCAAAGGAAGTTCGAGGGATCCTTCCTAAATGTCTTTGATTTCTATATGTATTCAAAATACCAGGGTTAGGCATGTAGCTCAGTGGTAGGGCACATGGTTGGCATGTGTGAGGCCCTAGTGTACACACACATGCACACACAGAATTGGGGGAAAGAAGAATGGGTGATATTGGTCAAAGAGTACAAATATAGTAACTGTAGTGGTTATGTTTCCCTGGAATGTGGTGATAATTTCAGGATGCATATCAAAATATCAATTTGTACATGATAAATATATGTATTTTCCCAGGCATGGTGCACATGCCTGTAACCCCAGTGACTCTGGAGGCTGATGTAGGAAGACTGCAAGTTTGAGTGTATCCTGGGCAATTTAGTGACACCTTATTTCAAGACAAAAAAAATAAAAAGGCTTCTCTCTCTATTTCCTGGCTGCTATGTGCTGAGCACTTTTCCACCCACATGCCCTTCCACCATTGATGTTCTGCCTCTCCTCAGGTCCAGAACTATGGACCATGGACTGAACCTCTGAAACCATGATCCAAAATAAACTTTTCCTCTTAGAAAAATATGCGCGCATATATATATATATGATGGAGATAAGTATCTCATGTGGAGATATATGAGATAAGATATATATATATATCCAGATAAAGTGGCATAAATAACTTGGGAGGCTGAGGCAGGGAAATTGCAAGTTCAAAGCCAGCCTCAGCAACTTAGTGAGACCCTAAGAAACTTAGTGAGACCTTGTCTCAAATAAATAAAAAGAGCTGGGGATGTGGCTCAGTGGTAAAGTGCTCTTGGGTTGATCC